GCATTAAAGCTTTGTCAAATATTTGGGACAACCAGAGGTGGACAAGCATCCAACTCAGATCCTGGACTTAACTTTTCTTCATGCTTCAGCCTGCACAGAACCCCTATTTCAGTTGCTAATATATCACACAGAACTCCAGCAGCCCACCACTGTTCAAACAGAAAAACCAAAACCCACAGCAAAAACCCAACAACAGAATGCCAGCATACACAATTCCTCCCATCTCTCCGAAATACTGTCCGCATGTTTGCACAACTTGGTAGTCTTAAACAAAACATGCTGGCCCCTGCTTACGTCAAGTTCGCCAGCAAGGCTGCTATTAAGATAAAAGTAAAGAAGTAACACAACTAGAAGAGTTCTCCATGAAGGTTTGTATTCTCTACACCTCAAGAGTGGGAGTATAATGCTTCTTACTGTTCAAGAAGAATTTAATCAATGTAGGTGCTTCTATAAACAGTGTTATTTAAATGCACAACGCTGAGTGTTTTATGGTCCAATTACACCTAAATGGACCAACTTATTTTAAACGCAGAACTGTACCACTGGACATTAATAACCCTACGTAGTGGGAAGCTGCTAGGAAGAGCTATTGTCTATGGAGAAAAACAGAGGCAAAACACAGCCAATATCTTTGACGTACACATGATGTAAATCCTGACCAAATGTGGAGCTAGTCTCTACAGTACCTGCATCAGCTATTTGGAGAACATGCACTTCTTTGGACAACTACTGATATTACACCACCTATAGCTACCTCAGCTACATACCAGTAATACTTTACTCAATTAAAATATTAATGCAACCACATAAACCTTCTGCCATCCATATTCATTCTGCTGTTCACATTACAGCTTTTACAGTCATTGCCTTAAATGAAAAATTACAGGTTAATTAGCAGAGACAAAAAGTTTCCTGAGTCTTGGCAGTAACACTGCTCAGGTTTAGGTTTAAGTGTCACCCACTGGGTGTCTCACAAAGCCACCAAGACTAACAAGCTTACCCTGAATCATTTTTCTAATAGGAAGTTGCCAAGCTTGCATCTTAGCTCACTTCATTTGCTAATGAAACCCAATCTCCCTCAAAAGGGGAAATACCTTTTTCAAAGGACACAATCATGCTTAGCAGCGCAGGCATGGTAAAGGCATAGCAAAACCCAAACCAACCCTAACTAGTATAAGAATTAAGCCTAGAATTTTTTATTTTAAACATTCACAAACTGTTAAGACTTTTTACCTGCACGTGACATTATCGAGGTAGAGGCAACAGCGCTATTAGAGCTTCTGGTCTACCTCTGCACCAGATGCTCTACTGTTAACGTGCCACGTTAATGAAAAGCCCACACCCACAGTTCTTCCACTCTCTTGAAATCACTTATTCATCTCAATACCCATCTCATCCCAAAACCAGACGGCCCAACTCACACCACTATTGGCAGCTCAACATTCTCCATCATCATCTTATTTGGTGCTTAAACAAGCAAGAGGCACTTTAACATAGAAAATAGGACAGATCATAGTACTAGACAAACTCGATCCTATTTCATTTGGATCTGATCGTATGGCAGAGTTCAAGGCAGGCAGTATGTTTATCTGCTTTATTATAAAATCATGTTCCACTCTTTAAATCAAAGAGAAACTCATGCCAAGTTTCCACTAAAAATCTACAGCAGAAAAAGCAAAAAAACCAGTAAAAAATGCTGCACTATTTACTAGCACTATATATTCTCTCATAGAAAAATTTAAAAAATATTATTTCAGACATATTCACAGTTCAAAAGTTATTCCACCTTTCAAGCACAGTGGAAACTTCTGTTATTACAAATGATTGTTCATCTATAGTTCTTCAGCTACTTCCAAAGTTTTCCTGGAATAGTTTAACTGCAATCCATAAGTAATCTGTTAGCAATTGATTTATAAGTAAAGTGTGCTGCAGTGCAATTTAGAATCCGTGGTTTCAGGCAATCACTTGAGTTCTTTCAAAATGCATAACAGAATGTCATAGTGACATTTTTAATGCTGCCTTAGTATTTATATTGACCGCCCAGAAAAAAACCAAGCAAACGAAAGAGTTTAAGCAAACAGAATTACAGCTCAATTGACAACAAAACTTCCCCTACAATGTACAATAGTAGAATTTACGAATGCTCTTCCTCTGAGCCTGAGAAGTCATTAATTGATTTATGAAAAAAATCATTTCAAGGCTACTGGAAGTTCTTTGCTTGAGATTTCCAAGACAATCCATCTAAAGCATCTTATTTCAATGTCCTATAAACACTTTTTACATTAAAAAGAAATAAAACCAAACCAAAAATGGTGAAGACATTTTTTTTCTTTTTTTAATTCGGAGGAAGGGCTAGAACACAAGCTCAGAAGCCTGCAGTTCAAAAGCCCCAGACACCTAGGAAAGCTAAATTCTCCCACTAATGCCATGCAAGAAAAATCAGACCTTTTTTATTGACTTAAAACAAGTTTTATTGTGAGTCATAACACAAGCTGCCAAGTGAAATATAGACTTCTTTAAAAATATAAATCAATGAAGCTTCTTCAAACTCAGTGGTTTCCAAACAGCATTATTACATTTATATTTAAGATTACAAAAAGAACTTGCTCCAGAGAGTTCTGCAGCAGGCTGATGAGCTTTACAGTTAAATCAATTTAACTGAATGTTAAGAGAACATGAATATGGAAATGGAAAGCTGAAAAACGGAGCTGTAGGCAATTCCCATGAAGGGCAAGCTGCTCAGAGACGCTGCCTTGCAGCGCATCCAAGAAACAACACAGAGCTGCTGTGTGCAATAGCAAGAATTTCAGCATTATGCTACTGTGGGAGGAAGAGAATAAGGTGTTAATGAAAATGATTGCACCAGACTAAAACATAGTCTTTTTCTTAACATCATGATTTCTTGGAATCAAGGTACAAATTATTAAAACACAGCACAACCTGTAGCAGAGATATGACTGTGTGAAACCCATCGACATGAAAGCGGTATCAGTGTCAGCCATCGCTTGCACCCAGCATCTCCAAATGCTCCCTCCAGAAGGCAGAGCTGCTCAAGCACTTCTGCCGCATACTCAGCCTTGAATACTGTTACGCAGCAGCAGTTGCACAGAGTGCTTTTAAGTAGTCTGAAGTCTAACTGGGGTTTAAAAAAAACCCTACTTTCTAGTCAGAGATCTAGAACTCTTAGAGCTTGTTCTGGAGCTCCCTCTTGAGGTTAGATACTGCACTATATTAAAGACATTGCTACATCCTCATAACTGGTTCTATTAAAAATGAGAGTATTTTCTTGCAAAAGGGAAATTATCAAAGGCATCTCCTCAAACCTCTGTACACTACTTTGTAGAGAGCATTAGATGCTTCTGAGTTACAAGCACTGCAATTTTTAAAAAAGGTGAGAAGATAAGCACATGCTAAACACACGAAGATAAACTTACCTACTTACTGTGCTTTACTTATACACCTTTGGTAGCCAGTGCAGGAGCACCACAGACCGTAAAACCTCTGTTACTGTGAATCATGAAATGAAGCAGTACACACTGACGATGAGAAACTAAGCGTTGTCTATTTGTAAAGGAACTGCAGCTTCACTAGGTTTATTTTAAGGCTGTTAACATGTCTCACTCTTTGGGTGACCTTTTAGCTACTCCAAAGCATCCATCTCCTTGCTAGAGCCTTGTTCCACAAAACCCAATGGCATTACTCCATCATCTTTGTTGCCAGAAGCTGCTACATGGGCTGACTTCTGTTTTTTAACGTGCTGAATCAGTGTTTGCCAAAGTTTGAAAAACTCTCTGAACAGGTTCTGCTGAAATTTCTTTCTCAAAACCAGCATCTTTCCACAAGCTGTGAAGAGCCCCCATATGGAAGAAGCTTTCAACATGGCAATACCCGAGAAAAAGATTTCTCCAAACTCCTCTTGAGAATTTTTTCCTCTCCCAAAAGGAGGTTGTTGGAAGTCTTTAGGAGCAGCGCACGAGCCAAAAGAACAAGCTTTGCCTACGATGGTCATATTTTACTACTGCTGAGCCCCAACTCAGCACTTTCTTCAGTCCTTGAACAAACATCCATGCTGGCCAGCTCAGTCATCTGTGACTACCTCTGCCTCAATCCTGTTGATGCTACCCCACCAGTGGGAAAGGATTTCTACGAGAATCCATAATTGAGAAAAAGATTCTATTTCTTCTAGTCATACTTTTCCAGTGAGGCTCTCCCTGCCATTTCTATAATCAAAGAAACATTTTTAACCCCTTTCCAGCTCAAGCCATGAGGTCTTCCACAGACTATCAGGATCAAAGTCACATCATTTTAAATCTTACATCTTATGATGAGGCTTATAGTTTTAGCAAGCTTTTCTGTTTTAGGGAAGAACAGATTTCTACTTGAATGTCTCAGAATAGCAACACACAGTTTATTCAGTTGTCCTTAATGATTAAAGTAACAGTAAAGAAACACAAAAGTCTAGAGAGATGCTAGCTCCTCCTACTGCATGGCTTGCTGTGCTTGAAATGTGCAAGATATTTGTCATTTCATAAACTTAGCCCTTAATTTGATGCATCAGTTCTGAAACAGGCTTGCTGTTTTCAGATGCCAGGTTACGGCCATATCACCTTCTAAAGCAACACAAATTTTCCGATTAATCCTATGCTAGAGTCTCCCTCCTCTGCATTCTGTGAAAAAACCAAAACAGACCAAAAGAAGAACCAACAAAAACTCCCAGAATAACTAGAAACAGATCTTATTTGATCAGCACAGAAGCTTGTGGAAACTGTGCACAACTCATCAGCTATACCAAATGCAAGACTAAAAAGAATGGCTTGAAACTTGGACCTAGAAAGGGTGTCTTTTCTCTTCTGCCAGAGGGTATTGGCCTAAGTTTTAGCTCCCTACAACCAAAAGACATCACAATAAGCTACCAAAAATTTCAAAGCAGGTTGGGAATACATATCATACCCCAAATTAAGTCTTGAGTAATCTTCTGTAAGTTAAATATGTTTTCTTACTTTTCATGGTGCCCTCCTCCTCTTCATCTTCTGTGTTTATTACCATTGTGCCCAAGTGGGACTCCAAGGTGCCATCGTGCTCTATCATTGTGTTGGCTCCATCACTCATTGTGTTGACAGCTCTTATGGTACCAGTTTCATCTCCACTCGCCCTCACCATGGTACCTGAATCGGTTTCATCTTCCTCCTGCACAAGGATGCCATAAATACATTTTTACTGATGGTGGAGAAGTCCTATGAAGGGTGGCTGTATTCAAAGACACTAGCAAGTCTTACTTATTCAGAGATTTTTACAAATACACATGGAAGTCAACGACATTTTGTTTTATGCACTTAGTTCTCTCCCTGTCATCTCCAAGCAGGTAATGAAAAGCCTTCGTGTTTTTCTGCCAGTGTGATAAATAAGAGAACAGATAAATAATCAACAGCAGCTTCTCAACACAACATGTACCTCATTTCTGACCTGGTGACCTGCCCGTAAGAGTAGATTCCAACACTCAGTCAGTGGTGCTTCTATTCATGCTGCCAGTTTTAACAGTTGGCCTAAACCCCTATGTCAAATGGTACAGTTCAGTGAGGAGTTATTAGTTATTAAACGGCAACAGGTTTAAGTCTGGAGTGCATGTGGCACACCGAAGAAAAGTAATCATCCTGTTTTTAAGGAGTCTGTCTTTAACATTTAGGTAGCTTCACTTGATAGAAACTTCAGAAGAACTGAAGAAAAATGAACTGAATTTGCAAATCTTTAAAAAGGAATGAAATAAGTGATCAAAGTCTAGTCATTTTTTCAGATGAAAATTGTTTCTTATCTTTTCATTTGTTAACAGGTATTAACATTATAGAAGTTTGAATTTTTGCTGTCAGGGCTCAGGAGACTGACTCTGTAGGAAAATGCAAGCTCCTGAAACACACTGGTAGGACAGCTTCCTGGCAGACAGTTACATGAGCCAGAGGTAGTAGTTTCATTAGGTGGCACGTGCTTCACTAAGTATATTCTGTGACTAGGATTTCATGAAGAACAAGGTCAAAAATTCCACAATCTATTTAGCTTCTTGGAAACGTGGACCAGGTATCCAGTTACAATCACAGAAGTCACTTCCTAGGTTTATGGTAGAGTTTCTAGGCATCTCACCTTGGATGAGATGCTTGTGTGTTGTTATAAGGATGAAGTTCACGTTTTTTTATGTGTGACCATGGTCTTCCTGATCTGTATTAGTTCTAGATGGGTAACACAGGTCTCACACATCAAGGTGTAATACTCTTTCTCAATGTCATTGAAAAAGAAGTACACCCCTGTTCTGGTGTTCCATGCATTTTATCTGTTCTGTCAAATGTATCTAATAATTTACTTCCCAACCTCAAAACCAACAGCAAGAGGAGGAGAAAACTACATGAGATGTTAATGGAGGAAAAGCAATTTTACGTGGAGATGAGTGGGTGAGAAGAAGTAATAAATTTGTTAGCTACGTATCATTTAACAAATGACTACAGCAGAAATTTCCACAGCTCTTGGGAAGTGCTTGGGAACACTTTTCTGCTAGCAGACGCAGAGTAAAGAAGCTTCAGGAAAACACACACCGACGGAGACCACTCAACTCCACTACATAGACACCATCTCTCAGCAGTGTGACTCCAGATCAGTCAGAAATGAAGACGAGAGGGTAGGGACAATACTCTTAAAGTCAACATCATGGCAACATGACCAATAAAGTTACTTCCACACTGAACAAACAGGCAGTCCTAAACTGGAAAAAGATGAACAACGTCTTCAGCATAGATACTGTGGACCATGCTATTCAAGTCTAGCCTCTGAAAAGGACTCTGGCATACAATGCCTTTTGTTGCCCGTTTCATTTATTCATGTTGAAGCAAGCAGAGGCTCAAAAAATAGCTTTCAACATGCTTTCCATATTTGCATGCTGTAACCACTGAAACAAGGAGCCCGAACTTAAATTCACAGCAACCCCCTGAACACTTGTCATGCCCTCACCTCTCGTTTCTGTCGGTTGCTCTTGTGTAGTAGAAAGTTTCTATAAGGGGGGTTCTAAAGCACAACAATAGTAAAACAACATAACATACTTATATCATAGTGCATCACAGATGATATTTTTATGTTATACTAGGAGAGCAGTCTAAGAACTGAATCTATAATGAAAAATTCTCATTACTGCATAAATAATATAATCCAACTGGGAAAACGTATAAAGTCTTTTGCATACACTACTTGGTAGACTTATTCAATCACAGGTCTCTAACTACACTCTAAGCTAAACAGTAAGCCATACATGCTGGCTATCTCACTCAAATATAAAGATTGAACAGAGACCAAGCATTGGGTTAAGCAGTCATAAAGTAGAAAACTCAAGAACTAAGTAAAATCCACAGGCAATTAGACAAAATATCACAAAACCAAAAACCAAATCAGCTAAGCCTTATGAAAGGACCAAGAGTTTGGACTTCGTACACTGTTGCTATTAAATACTCACTGAGTTTTCTTCATCATCTTGATCTAGTTCGCGCTGTTGTGCCTCTTGACGTTTCAGCTTGATATCCATTGCTTCATTAATCAAGTCTCGCAGAATTGACACTCCTTTGGCACTTTTAACAAATGGATGCTGACAAGAATTTTAAAAACAAATAAGCACTGCATCCAAACCAAGATATAACAGCAACACACTGTTACTATGGCCTACTTCCAATCAAAATTAAGGTTTAACTCAATACACTACTAAAATAAAAATCAAATACTTCTGTTTGGCACAGGAGGGAGACTTCTCACCCTCCAAACATGCTCCAAAAGCACTACTGCTGTGAGACCTTGGGTTTACTCCCCTCCCACAACTCTTATTTCTTTCCTTTGCAGCTTAGCTGTCAAGAACCAATTACACGGATCATCACCATGCCTAGACCATTCTAAGCAATCAATTTCATTTAGCCTCCCCTTTTTGTGTTGTAAGAGGCAGCTTCTTGGCAGTGCTGGTGAGAATTTGAACATAAAAAAACCACTCCAAAAGCCAAACAAACAACGCCGAGAAGACAAAGATAGGAAGCTGAAGTTAGATCAGTTCTTAGAGAAGAACTGAAAAGTTGAAGTTGAGTGTAAGATTTCTAAAGTGAGATATTAAAAAGTAAAAACTGTAGTGAGCAGGAGCAGCAAGAAATGAAACCAACACCTCAACAGATGTGCGGCACCTCCTACCGTAGCAAGCCTTCTCTAGAGCTTATATTCTTGTAAGAAAAGACACACCTGCAGAAGCTGTGTTGCAGTGGCACGCTGCTCTGGGCTCTTAACAAGACACTGTTTTACAAAGTCCGTAAAATTGTCTGACCAGAGCTCTGGTTTCCGGAATGTTGGAGGCGGATTGGTGGGAATCATGAAAATTGCCTGAAAACAGAAAAACATTCCAGATTTACAAACAAAGTCTAAAGCTTTCCAACAATACAACAAAAATACACACAAACATACAGATGATAGCCATTTCAAGTTTGCTGCTTCTGAAGAGTTTGTGCCAAATTTGCTCAGAGGGATCAAGTACCAAAAAATCAGACTTTTCTCACCTAGTGCGTACACCTCTGTCTGAGCCACTATATGCCCCCAAAGGTGTGAATATGCCATTTTTAAGTCTTAAAACTTTGTGCTTGAATAAAAAAAAAAAATTGTTTTGGATAATACAGCTGAAAATATGTTTCTTCACAGCCAACACAGGGAGCTTCAGCTATGTCTTAACAGAAGAGGATCATTATTTTCCTTCCCATGCAGATTCTCTTTTTCAAAGGCCGTTTTTCATTTAATCAGCGGTACAAAGAACTGACAAAGAACACATCATTTACTCCAAATTAAAAGCAAGATGGTATGTTTGATACATTATTCATGCAGCTGTAATAGCAAATCCTTTCCATACAGCAACACATTTTAAGAGGCCAGTCCTTACCCTCATAGGATGAATATCTGCATATGGTGGCTTGCCTTCAGCCATTTCTATTGCAGTGATGCCCAGAGACCAGATGTCTGCCACACAATTATACCCAATTTCTTGAATCACTTCTGGAGCCATCCAAAATGGGGTCCCTATAACTGTGTTCCGCTTTGCCATGGTGTCCTGAGAAAAAGAGCAGGATAAAGATCCAGACAACGGCAACTGCATTAGCCACAAACATTTATTAATGAATTATCACCCTAATTATCTTTCACTTGCACACATGTGCATTATTAGATTCAGCAAGACTGGGATATGGAGGGCTGCAAAGAGGAATTGAAATGTGCTTACAGAAGTTACAAATATACTGAGGAAAACAGCAAACGCTATTGCAAACCATTACTTAGCTATAGCAGCTTTCACAGCGGAAGCTCTGCTCTAATCTCCTGCTGGTTTAGCATCTCATTATGTTGATGTGAAATGCTAAAAAGCCAGTTTAGAAGCATTTTCATCAATGACTTAGACAGCGAGATCGAGTGCACTCTCAGCAAGTTTGCGGATGACACCAAGCTGAGTGGTGAGGTTGACACACCAGAAGGAAGGGATGTCATCCAAAGAGACCTGGACAGGCTGGAGAGGTGGGCCTGTGTGAACCTCATGAGGTTCAACAAGGCCAAGTGCAATGGCCAGCAGGTCGAGGGAGGTGATTCTGCCCCTCTACTCAGCTCTGGTGAGACCTCACCTGGAGTACTGCGTCCAGCTCTGGAGCCCTCAGCACAAGAAGGACATGGAACTGTTGGAACGGGTCCAGAGGAGGGCTACAAAAATGATCCGAGGGCTGGAGCACCTCTCCTATGAGGACAGGCTGAGAGAGTTGGGCTTGTTCAGTCTGGAGAAAAGGAGGCTACGGGGAGACCTGATTGCGGCCTTCCAGTACCTAAAGGGGGCCTATAGGAAAGATGGGGAACGTCTTTTTAGTAGGGCCAGCTGTGTTAGGACAAGGGGAAATGGTTTTAAACTAGAACAGGGTAGGTTCAGGCTAGAGGTAAGGAAGAAATTTTTTACAATGAGGGTGGTAAAACACTGGAACAGGTTGCCCAGAGAGGTAGTGGAGGCCCCATCCCTGGAAACATTCAAGGCCAGGTTGGATGGGGCTCTGAGCAATCTGATCTAGTTAGCAGTGTCCCTGCTCACTGCAGGGGGGTTGGACTAGATGACCACTAGTGGTCCCTTCCAACCCTAAACATTCTATGATTCTATGATTCTATGATTTCTCAAAGTCTTCACAAGCACATCATACTCACATGCAGGTCAAAAAGATAAACCAAAGCGCACACAACCGTCTTGGTTTTACTTACTGTAAGTTGTCCTGCCACTCCAAAATCTGCAAGTTTAGCATGTCCCTCTGTATTTAGCAATATATTTCCAGCTTTGATGTCCCTGTGTATTTTCCTCATAAAATGCAGGTACTCCAGTCCTTTCAGTGTTGATTGCACTATTGTAGCAATTTCCTCCTCTGTGAGCTGAAGAAAAGAAGAGTTACTGCCAACCTACCAGTTGCTGAGATGTAACACCACTGTGTTTCAGTCTATGTTTTCCTGAGATTCATTAATTGCCATTTAATTGCCTTCACTAAAGGTTGTTGTACTAATGGGGAAACTACTTAGTGACTTCCAGCATTATGTAGTAGAATTAGATTTCAACCAGCATACATATACACAAGTATCACATTTCACATACCATAACTCTTTCTCAACTAGTAATTGTTATCCTGCAATAACCAAAGTAAGACAAAGTAGAATCTGTTCTTCAGAATCGGTCTGGGTTTTCAGGAAAGCCAAAAAACCAAAACCTGCTCCACCAATTACATTATCAAGATAACCAAAACTCAATCAATGTAATCAGCTTTCCCATTTTCAGAGGAACAAAGGGCCTGCATCTCAAGTTATACCCAATGGTTGTGTCAGGCATTGAACTCTGTGAGAATTATGCCCAAATGCCAGTGCACAAACCACTCAGCTTCCCTGAGCTGCAGGACACCCATATTTCCCATTCATACAATCAAAGGAGAAAGGACGTACAGTTTTATTTCGTAATCGAATAATATCAGACACAGATCCAGCGCCGCAGTATTCCATGACTATCCACAGGTCTGTGTTCTTAAAGTAGCTGCCGTAATACTTCACCACATGAGGACTATGAAATGTGAAAAAGAGAAGAAAACAAAGGGTCAAATACCAGTAACTAGCATAACTGAATAACCAAAATACACTGCAGAGTCCCTAAGTACGTTTTTAGAAATTCAGAGTTGAAGTGCCACTGAAACTCTGATCAAAAGTATTCCAAAACAATCTGAACTTGCACAGGCCTACTGCAGTCCTGCCAAGCCCCTTCCCCACAGCGGTGCTCATTCAACCTGCCAGTAAGTCAGTTCAAAGCACTAAACTGTCTGAAGATAAATCCTACAGAAATAAGGAGCAATTGGCCCTCAGTCTGGTTTAGCTCCCTGAACCAGATTACAACAAGGTCAGTGCTATGTCAAGAAAGAAGGCAGGACAAGGGCATGAGAAACAGACCATGACAGTCCCTGGTAAAGTTGCTGCAAGAGCATTTGCAACCAAATGGAAACATTAAGTAAGGTCCAAAGTTTACTGGAAAATAGCTATCATGTTTATTAAGAGGAATGTTCCCCCACTACCACATGCACCTACTTGTTTCTACAATTTAGTCCAGGATGTACTTTAGGAATCCAGTACAACCTAAGGCTGTCCCTCACAGCCAGCTATCTGGCTGCCCAAAAAGCAAACAACCTAGTGAAGTATATTGATCAGAATAGCCATCTGTCCTCTGGAAAAGGTAAAGCAGAAAACTAACAAAAAGACTGTTCCTGATTTTGTGGGAATGGAGCTAAGGAACAAAAGTGCACTTCATCTATTCCCTGCTGAATATTTTCTAATGAAAAACTGTAAAAATAGCAAGTCAGTCATGCCACACAGTGTCCCTTAATGCTTGCACAGAAAACGCGATGCTCCAGTGATTCACTCCCTCTGCTGTTCGTAACTGTAAAGTCTCCTTTTAGGCCTTACGATAGCAATATTTAATTTCTTTTAGGAAAGAGACACCTAGCAATGCTTTCCAAGTTACACAGTAAGAATTTTCACAAATTCTTTTAAAGTTACATTTTGTTGTCCGCCACCAGTTACCTTCATGTAAAGAGAGTAAAGTGCAATAGAGTAAGTGACTGGGACCACACCCCTACATCGCTAATGTAATTTAGTTTAGATGGTTTTCCATGCCTGAAGTCCATCAAAGTAGTGTTTCTTAAGGCTAAATTCATAATACCTAGGACACACTTCGAGAGAAGGCCTTCTGCACCCATGAGCTCTTCAGTAGCTAAAAGTCAGTACAACATTTTTTCCCGTAAGGAACATGCAAAGACAACCCAGAGAGCCAACCATCAGCACGCAGAGCTGCCAGCAAGTTATTCTGGGGATGCTCAGATCAGCAGACAGCTTGTACCGCACTAGAACCTGCACAGGCAGAAAATGGCCAGGAAGGACAATTCTGCCACCCAAGCAGATGACAGCATGTAGATTATGCACATGCAAGAGCAATCATGCATTAGTGCCTCTCATCCACACGCCCCTTAAAAACAAATAAAAACCCCTCTTCTGGTGGTTTTCTATGTCCATACCAAAACTGGTTTAGAATTCATTACCCCTTTGGACATAGGAACTGCTGTTCTAGCACACAATCAAGTTACCACTGTTCCAACAAGTGACGGTGCAGGGGGAGAACCGCAGTAACTGCTCACACGCTTGGCTCTTTGCTGGCAGCAAGTGCAAGGTTATTCGACTTAGCTTAATGCTGTCTTGTTGCAAGCTAAATTCTTGTTGTCTTACCTTTGCTTGGATTAACACTACCCAAATGGTCAGTTAACATGACTCAGTTGATACGAGGTAACTTGATCGTACAAGTCCGGCCTTTTAAAAAACATTTAAGGCAACATCATGGCTTTTATTTGATTAAATGCCAGATCATAGACAATACTTTTCTTTACACACCGACAAGGGGTTTTGCAGTCTGCATTTACCTGTCACACTGCTGCATTATGGATATTTCCTTTATAATCTCTTGAAGGTCAGATTCCACAGGAACTTGTTTAATTGCAACAACTTGACCCGTCTCTTTATGAATGGCTTTGAACACACTGCCATAGGAACTATGAAACAAAATATTAAACAATCACTGAATACAATAAACTTTTAAAAATGCAAATGTTATGGGTTTGCTTTTTGCAAGTGCAGCCATCAGGTAAAAAATTAACTACTCTTCTGCTAAAAATATTTTTTATTTTAATGTAAATAATCAGTCCACTAGCCTCTAAACACTATAGTAATACAAATAAGTCACAGCACACAGACGGTCAGGAAGGAGCCAACCATCGTTATGCTGCCCACAGCTTTGGAAGGGCCTTTTACACTAATCCAACAAATACAATCCTCTCTTTTTCCAGCATACAGTACCAGCTGAGCATCAGTAAGAACTACAGCTCTGGTCAGAGAGGTTTGCTTGTTCTTGTCAGATACTATCTGTCTTATTTCCAGCTTCTTTCCTTACAGCAGCTAGACAGATTTACAAATCATTTCTTTCAAACTGCTTAAGAAGGCAAACACGTCACTCACCGAGTGTTCCCACGCTGCTCTGCCTTACCAAGTGGCACAGTGCAACAAAAATTCATTTCCACAAGAGGTACCAGGGATGAACTACAAAACCTCTCGAGTTCTCACAGAGCCCTATCAACTCCAGATTGGCATTTTTCAACAACGTTTTAACTCCCTACTGCTGAGCCGTAAGCTACTGTTTGGATTAAGATATCTTACTCTTGGGAAACAAATTCTTTAATCTGTTACTAACCAAACACTGTCACTATGTTAGTACATACCTTTGCATTATTAGGATCAAGACAAAAAAAAATCAGAGAACACTGAACACAAACCCATTACATTTCTTTAATAAGAAATCTATGTATATTGGGCACATTAGAATAGAACACATACCCTTCTCCAAGCTTCTCCAATACATCGAATACTTCTTCAGGTTGTTTGGTTAAACTGTCTTCATCTAACTTCTTCAGCTGCCTGTATATGTAAGAATGGAGACATTATTACATTCAATTTTACAGCAGTTTGGGCTTTGTTGACACAGAAGAATAAATAGCATCATTTAAATGTACACAAGGCTTAGCATGAAGTAAATTGATTATGAAGTAAGTTTATTTCACCTGGCTAGGAGACTGAATATCATTAGCATCCAATAGCAAAAGAGGACTGGGAATTACCGAGAACAGAATTTGATCAGGCACACAAACCTACAGTTCCTCTTGGTGGAAACACATCTCAGGATTTATACACTGGTGGTCAAATCCCAACACAGCGCTGTGGAGTCTTGCAAGGCCATGCAAGAGGGAACATCATCTTCCTGCATGCTTCACAGTACGTGTGGAATACATTTGTTGGGAGGAAGGAGGCAATACTGATCTCACCTGTACATTTTTAACCTGTACATTTTAGTTCAGATCTTAAATCTGTGGACCTGGACATATACTAGGAAAATTCCATCAGGAGGTGGGGAGAAAAGAAAAAAAAAAAAAAAAAAAAAAAAAAGGGAAACTGATATCTGACTCTTGGGATCTTAATGCTGCTTGGCCCATCCCTCTTAAATGCATTGCTAATAAGAGCCAGCTGAAATACTTCCGAGGGAAAAAAAAACCACACTACATATTGTGATCCTTCACTTACCCCCCTTTGCCCCCAGTATAACTTTCAGGGAGATTCTGTACACAAAGCAACAAGATCAACCACATTTGTTTCAGTCCACCTCTACCACATCAGAGAGCTGTTCACCAAGAAACCTCCTGAACATAGCTAAGGACAACATAAAAAAAAGTTCTGAAAACAAAGTCAAACAAACAGTATCCAACATCCCACAAAGAAGAGCTCTTTCATTTTCACACAAACTAAAAAAAAACAAAACCAAACCATGACACAACAACAAAACACAAAAAACGTCCAAACAAAAAAACGTCCAAACAAAAAAACGTCCAAACAAAAAAACGTCCAAACTCCCCAAGCCAACTCATATAAGTTTTTGAAACACAGAAACTTTATTAGCCTCGGAGTTTTCAGAACTTGCTGGTCTCACAGCAAGCAGCCTTTAAAATGAAACATGCGTGGTCACCTGCAACTGCAAATTACTACCAAAAGCTCTTACTGCTGCTGGCAAAGATCGTGACTCAGTCACGGGCATGCTAATTTTTATACTAAATATATGATTTTTTCCCCACTTTTTTCAGAAACAGAGCAAGAAGCCACTTGTTGATCCCTGGCTATTATGTTTATGCACAAAAGCTATATAGGAGGAGCAGCTCACGCATGGAGTACATACAATGGCTTCCTGAAGCAAAGGAAACATTATAAAGAAGCAGACTCAGGAAGTGGTGAAATACTGAAAGCAGTCACTAGCTTCCCTGCAAAGATAAGCGCTAACCAGCACTTGTCCTTGTGAAAATGGGGAGGGAGGAAGGTGGGGGAAGAGAAGAAAAGGGAAAAATGCATCAGCAACCACAAGCCACCATTTCCAAGGATCCCAAAAAGTGGCGATGCAATAGGCGCATCCTTTTTGCTGAAGTTAAGGTGAGGCCTAAATTCCGATTTAACAAATAAAGAAAAAAAAAAAAAAAAAAAGGCTGTTCATATACCCAAATACAATAACCTTACAACTACTGTGTTTGCATCAAACTACCTCATTTCTGCTACAGCCCAGGAGTGCCGCTACCTCGCACTGCCCAGCCCGCCCAGCGCACTCGCTGCTGTCAAAGACACGCTCCGCCGTTTCACTGCGTGCTTACACAACACGAGCAGAACAGCATCGCAACACCGATCTCACCTAAGTTGCTACTCAGACCTAACCTGAGTCACCTTCTTGTTAAAACACCGGCATAAGCCATTACAGAATTTAACAGAAGACGCTCTGCTGTTTCGTTGTTGAACAAAAAGAAAGACTCTGTCACTGAAGACCAGAGCTGGCGGCTTCCTTTGCTGGCTGCCGAAAGCGTGCCCCGGGACCCAGCTGCAGAGCTCCGATGGCGCTCTGACAGACGGAGGCTTCATTCGAACCGCTGCCCATCTCCGGCTCTCCT